TTCAGACAGATGTGGGTAACGCGGGTGAAAATGTGGGTGGTATGTTGACAGCCTTGGTTGCTGATGTGACTTTTTCACTTTAGGACCTACCTATTGCAGTTTCCTACTAGAACGACATCCTTCCCTCAGCCTGAGGCTAACAAGTCTGCCATCTCTAGTTTAATAAAGATAGTCAGGGAAAGTGTTGTTGATCTTTGTAATCTCAAGCCAGTGGGAAACAACTTTTTTGACAGATCTGCCACAAATTAGTTCTACAACCAACCTGAGAGCTGCTCCACTCCCATTCCCCTCCCCAATCTGCTGCTCTGCTTTCTGCGCCTGCCCTGTCTACTGCTGTGCTATCTCCTCCCCAGTGTGGTGCGGGCCTAAAGTGGAGGCTGCCTGAGCCACTTTGTGCTGCAGGTGCCTTAAGCTATATCACTTAAGTTATGAAACACACGGACAAACTTATTTATCATGAAATGCTTAGACTACTTGAGGACTTCCAGTATATTCTCAGAGGCATAGTTGACAAAATGAAATGCCCCTAATGTAGAGGCAGCTGATTAAATTTTGTGAACAAAATAAGCTATGTTGGCAAAAACATCTCTCTTAGGGGTTTTTTTCATGATAGATGTGTCTAAAACCAAAACTGCATCACTTAACTGCCTTGTTATACTGACAAGTATTTCTAGTGAAGATTTGATCTAAGCAAAAAGGATATTCTACATATTTCAATAAAAGTTCATGTGTAACTGGTGTACAAGGAAGTATTGGTATCCCTATAATCTGTATCTGAAAATAAAATAAAAAGTCATATATCTTGTAATATTACCCAGACGTAAGCATAAGTGTGAGGACGCTAGCTATCCACCTGCCTTTTGACTGCTGCTTTCCCTTTCTTGTTTCTGGTACAGCTGAAGGGAATACAGATAGCTATAAAGGAGACAGTTATAGCTACTATGAAATTAGCCAGAGTACAATCACAGTCAAAAGTTTAAGTAAAACATGCTATACATTTAAGCAGATCATGCACTGAGCTCATATGCAGATAACAAGCAATATTTATCAAGCAGTAGGCAGCAAATTGGGACTGACCTTGTGCTATTCAACTAAACAAATTTATATGCATACATAGTAAGGGGAGTATTCCCTATTCCAGTGTTGGGCAATTATTTTGGACAGAGGACTGCTTACTGAGTTTTGACAAGCCATTGAGGGCCACATGACAGGCAGCCAGGGGCAGATTAATATAAGTTTTCTAAATTTTTTAGGAGCCCCGCAGGCCAGATAAAATGGCCTGGTGGGCCACATCTGGCCCATGGGCTGTATTTTGCCCACCCCTGTTCTATACCATGTCTGCTATAAGTGGAACTTTCAGCTCTTGTTTCATGGTTTTTTCCTTCATGAGGCAAAGGAGCTGTTCATTAGGGGTATGTGAAATTGGCTGTATTTGATTCAGATTAGGCCTGAATCGGGGACAGTGATTTGATTAATTGATTTGGCTCACTGTCCCGATTGGATTCCGCCGAATCAGAAACTGAAGATTCGATGCTGATTCGGAGAATTAGCGATTCAGCTATAGACACAGCTTTAAATGTTTTTTTTTACATACCTTGAGGTAACAGGTGCAGCTCGTGAATGCTGCGATGGTGGAGTGGATGGAGCGTCCCACAGGAGTGCAGAGGGGCCCCCCCACATGCTTGGCGGTGAATCCGGAAGTGGACCGGAAGTACCTCTGGGCCTGCTGGGGAGTGCGCTGGGGGCCCCCTGTGCACACCCCCCAGCTCAGTGATAAGCTGTGGGGGGGACCGTGGGTGCCCCCCCAGACTCAGGGGGCACCAGGCACTGAGCTAGGGAGGCATGTGGGGGCCCACCAGTGCGCTCCCTAGCAGACCCAGAAGTGGACTGGAAGTGCTTCTCGTTCACTTCTGGGTCTGCTGCCAAGCACGCTGGGGAGCCCCCCGCGCTCCTTGTGCCCCAGCATCTCAGCATTCGTGAGCTGCCTGGTACCTTGAAGTATGTAGAAAAAACTTTTAAAGGTGTGTCTATGTCCAAATCTCCAAGTCTTTCTGAATCTCCCTGAATCGATTTGGGGGGTTCCAATTTGATTTGGAGAGATTGAAGGGTTTCCTGCTTCGATTTGGATTTGGAGATTCAGCCACCAAATCGGGCTGCATCTCTGCCGAATTGAATCAGGGACTGAAGCTTCACACAGCCCTACTGTTCATTGCTGTCTATAGAGGACTGGATAGCAGCAGGGAAACTAAAATTTGCTTTGTAAAGGTCTGTCTGTACCTAAAATCTAATTGAAGTAGGGTGTGAAGTACAATAGCTGTCGAAAACAGATTGGTTTCGAAATTAAAAAAATCCTTTTTTGTTTACCTTACCACATGAGGTGGGTTATTAAGGAATAATTATTTCTGAATAACTATTTGTGGACAAGCCTTCAAGTATAATTCTGCTGCCTGGGAAAGTTGAGTCACAGCAGAGGCAGGTGCTGGAACCATCTGTCTTCAGACTTGGGAAGACTGTGTTCCATCACATTATGTGATATGTTCTTTTTACAGTCATAAGGACTAAAAACTGTCCTCTCAGAATGGAAAGAATTCAAATTTCTAGTAATAAATGTCCTATTTGTCTCAGGGAGACAGGCCGGGAGTTTTCTGATTGCTTGCATTTACCTACTTAATTGCTTATAGAAGAGTTGCAGGCAGCATTTGATTGTTGGCTGCTGCCACAGCCATCCATCACTTCTTTTTAAGGAGAGATACTGGTGCCTCTGTAACAAGGAGATTGCATCCAGTATTAGTGTTCACAGTGGTCCTTTTTTACAAAGAAGTTTCATACGGATGTATTCCATTACTAGGATAAGTATACGTGTGTATTGCATACACATAAGTTTGCATTTTGCATCTTAATAAATCAATCCTATTTTAACATCTGTTTTAAATAAGCTGTCACAACTTAGTTATTTTACCACAGATGAGTGTTCAATATGACTCATTTGTAACACTTTTTATATGGACCCGAATTCAAATATTTATGAAGTAGCATTTAGATTGATTCTCAAGAGCATATACCTATGGCACTCTGCAGTGCTGGGGTTTCTTATGAGGTTAGTAAAACAGTAAGTTGGGATGCTGCATTTATGCCCAAACTGAACAGGATACCTTTCACTTAAATGCTATGATTCTTGCACTTGTCTGTCTTTAAAAAAAAAAATCATTAATAGAAAAAGCATGTGCATCTTCAGCCAGGTAGGACCCCATTATGTAATGTACTGTACAGACTTGGGTAAACTCTTTGGAAGGATGCAGTCTTTTCCAAAAATGTAGTTTTTGAAGTTGTAAATTAGAATTTTTAAACAAATGGTTTTTGAGGGAGGCTTTTTCACTCCAGGAGCAAGGCGCATACATGTATACGTCCCATAGAGATTGCTGCACAGAGGGAGTCTATGAAGTGTAATCTGTCTCAACAGGCAAATGGCTGAGAGGAATTTAATCTGCATTTCCAAATGATTTTGTGTTTCGCCTGGAGGGGAAGAAAATAATCTAGATGCTAAAATTTAAACAGTTAGCAAATATACTTAAACCTTTTTAAAATTAGAACTTTTTCTATGGACAAACAAGGCATACCTCAGTCCCAGCCCTTTATTTTCTATCTCAAGATATATGAGGAGATACACTGGAAGGAATAAGACTCATTCTTGGATTTAGATTTTATTTTTTCATATCTGCTCTTTATTTCTTCATGTATTTCAGACTGATTTTGGTGAATTAATAGGCATTTGTTTTTTAATACATATTTCACATTATTTGAAATTTGGTTAATTTTTTTGAAAACTAATTCTGCTACTCTTTGTGTGAACTTTTTCAGTTTGACAGTTTTCCTGCTTCAATATGTCATTAATATAATGTTAATAAAATGTTAAAACTTTGATTTCCAGAAAAATGATCCTCCTTTTCAACTCAAACTTCCTCCGAAGGCAGCTAGACCTGACAAAGAAATTGATCCAGAATATGAAGAGAAGATGGTAAGTGTGTTGTTACAGCATAGTGGACGATTTACATTTTGGCAGCCTTTTAAAAAAAAATCTAAATGGAGACAATGGGAGGAAACAAGAAGGTACTGCAGACAGGATATGGAAGGGAGGGAAAGAAAATGGAACAAGGATAGCAATATTAATACAAATAGCTATAACTTATTCTCAGAGTACATTTGTAAGTAATATATGTTCAGGGAAATTTTCAAAGCAAGGGGATAACTCTGTCATTAAATGTAGTTTGCCTAGGAGTTGAGCTATATTTTGCAAGTCTGAAGTAGGTGAGAACTAATGATTGTGCACATGGACTTATAGCCTCTAAGGATTTTTTTAAAAGGAAACTGGGATGCACAAGATGGTATCCTGAGGGTGCTGTGGTATTGTAAGAAACATGGGTGTGTCTCATCACACTGATGTGGATATCTAAAATCTAACAGGAACAGAGATGGAAGACAAAATATTGTATGCTTTTAAAAGAAGACAGGACCTAGAAAAGAAAAGCAAACTAGACTTGGGAGACCCTAAAAAAAGGCAGTAATATTTTTGTCATCTGGACCCATGCATACAATACTGTGCAGTGATCAGAATGTGGGGAAAGAGCCTTATAGATCTGTATGATATAAGGCACATGCTGATAATTTGCACTACCTAAATGGGAAAAAAATCCTAACTTTTGGAACACCTCACAAAATCATATTGCCAGTAAGATCTATTTAGGACCCATTTTAAAGGAAGAAGTAGCACTGGACAGAGAAAGTAGCAGTAATCACCAATACAGTACTCCTTTGCTTATTACTGAGAGTTTTGATACCATCTTAAGTGGCCTTAAACTAGTTGGGGAAAAAAGCTGTGGACAAATGACAGACAGCGCTCAGTTACAAAAACCCTGCACATTCAGCAGCAAACTTGCCTCAGAATTAAGCTGTAGTAAATTTAATACTAATGTAGAATAGATTTGTTTATCTGTAATTCTCTGGGGTCATGAGGTGTGAAGATGCAGTTTTTTCCCCTGTATTAGTTACCTTAACACCTGCCTGTCTACCCAGCAGCATGTTTGATTCTGCCTGCTGCTCCACCAGTTAAAAATGCAAGGAGGTCCTTGACCCCATGTTCCCACCATTCTCTGGGGAGGAGTTGAGCTTGTAGGCCCTTCACAAAACCCACTGTTATCACGATGCATACAGTGCCAAATGGCTGTCCATATCTATTGGTGAGATGGCTCCCACTGAAGGATGAAGGCAGAGGACTTCAAATGCTGCTGCAGATGTGTGAAGCACACCAACTGCTGCTTCATTGCCAGCAGCCTATGTGCCTGATTTGTGATGAGCAACTTGAGATCCTTGCCAAGGACAGCAGCATCAAGCCGTGCTATATGTCAGCAGAGAAGAGGAAGTCTAGGCTGTGAACATTAAGGCTTTCACTTCAAATGAGAACCTTTTTGACTTCCTATCCACTGATCCAGCTTGGATGAAACTGACTGGTCAGTCACAGCTACCTGCATTGCTGCCAGCTGTTGGCTAGCCAGTCCCTTCAAAATCATTGTATCAGAGCCCCTTTGCCTTGGATACCATCCAGGCAGGTAAGTGAAGATGTAATGCCGCTACAGACTTCCACCCCAAAAAGTGGTCCCTGAGATTAGATGGCTGACAGGTTGCCACTAGTGCCCTACTTCCAGGTGCCCCAACCTCCAAGAAGGACACCTAATCTTTGGCTGCAAGCAAAAACCAAAATAAAAGCTCTAGTAGCTTGCATTTATTTCAACAGGGCTCTGTTGTACCCTCTGCCAGGCCCTCATTTCCACTAACTGCCCCCTGTAACTTTTCTATGGCGTGGCAGGTCTGGAATGTAGGGCTTCCCCTCCTCCACTTTGGCTGCCAGCAAAAACAAATCCAACCGTAGCTATCAATTTATTTCGATAGAGCCCAGTCCCACCCATCCATTGTGCTCAAAATTTTAATTTGGGGGCGAAAATCTCTGTTTAATAATCACTTTGGGTAGTAGGTGTTGATCATAAGTCAGATGTGTACCTGTTTGGGTAGATAGGTAATCTTTTCAGTTAGTGCTTAAGCCAAGCCTTCCTGTTGCCAGGTTTAACAGGGCATCTATGGTGCCTGTTACTTTAAGAGAAGGCAACTGCAATTTAGAGAGCAACAGCTGTGGGAGGTTGCCTGTTAGGAGCTCCAAAAGAGTAGGGAGGCAGGGTTGAGAGCCATTAGCACCTATTGCAGAGCTAACAACTCTGCCATAAAATACAGCTAGGAGAAACTCTTGCACGTCAGCAAAACACGGTTGCAACAGCTAGGCAGTCATACAAAGCTACCACAGAGTTAAATCTGAAAGCCCAGTTAAGGGACATCTGTAGCCCACTCATAAGGCAGCTGGTGTCCTGGGGTGGGAGCACATATGAGCCAGGAAGTCTCTCATAATGTGAGAACTGATTGGGATCACTGGGGTTCAACAGGGATCTGTGAGTGTGAAGGTTGACTAAGACTTGCTGTAGGTTGACTAAGGCTCTAGGACTCTGGGGCAGCCTTCTTTTTTTCTAAACAATATTTCCAGCAAGGCATGGCAAGTGAGAATGAAGAGGGGGTATATATGCAGAGAGCCAGAGTAGGGCAGGATTCATGAGGCCACCAGAGGGTGTTGCAGCCACCTCTGGGATCCGTCTCTGTGACACCAGGAAATACTGTTTTTATATTTGTTCTATGGCAGTCTCAATCTCTTTCTCCAGGAACCGTGGGGACCATCCTGAGAAACAGCTACAATATGTATCTAGCAAGGCTCCCTTTTGCTTTCATAGACAAGTATCTGCTTCCCCTTTGTTATGTCATATGGACCAGTGTTATGTTCTCCGGAGAAAACCCAGAGAGTGTTTGGGAATATTGGACCTTAGTGTTATAAGAGTGTCTGCACTCTTCCCCCTTGCCCCACAGCCACAGCCTTGTACAATACTACAGTTGCATGTATACCAAGCAGCTCAGTAGCCTCTTTTTGCAGTTTCCAGGTGCTCAACCACTGAAACAACAGGTCAGAAGGAGCAGCCAGACACTGGTGCTATTGTCAGGTGGTTCCAGGACTAGGCAAAGGCTCTGGTAATGGTATCCTGGAAATTACAGGGAGGCTAGGGAGTTATTTCTGAAGCTAAGGCTGGAACAATGACTACTTGTACATGTCTTGCCTTCTAGGATCTCAGTCTGCAGCTTTGGGTCTTCAAGTTCTTTACTGCAGACAGTGGCTTGTCCTCTGGTAAACCTGAGGAAGAAAACAGAGGGTGGGGAAACAGGGTTGGGCGAATGAATACTTGGGTAGCTGGTGATTTTGTGCTCCAGGAGTGTCATTTCTCTCCAACATCAGGATCTGGTGACAAAGGGCATTGTCTGTGCCAGAAGGAATACCATAGCAATGTGGAAAAGTGACTGTGGCAAGGGAGATGCTGAACCTGCTGTGGAAATAGGTGTGGGAGATGCAGTGCACCCTGCTTGGAGTCCTGTTTTGCCAGAGTGCATGCATGGAAGTCCTTTCTAGTTTTATTTCCTGACTTGTGTTTTTTCTTTGTTCAGGTAGCATCTTTCACACTTCAGGGGAGCCAGCCAATGTCTTGTGGCTCCTTGATGCTACCTCCAGGGAGCAGCAGTTTTTCAGGGATAAGGGAGAACAGATTTTTCTAGGGAATAAGACCCTCTGATTCATTAAGTCTGGCTGTGGGCTGGATGCTGTGGCATTTTGTTTTTTGTGGTTTAGAGCTGTGCATCTGTCTGGTCTTCCTTGGGACTTGGAACCAACCCCTGGGACATAAGGGACATTCCCATATGTATAGTATCCTGCCCCCCCGTTAAATGCATGTAGTTACCCCTCTCAACCCTATTACTTTTTATCAAGAACTTTTTGATTTCTCATTGCAATGCTTGTTTCATTTGTTGTTAAATAAAACCAAACTTTGTTTATTTGCTGAGCTTTATTATTGTTGTCCCTGTTTTACATATACCAAACAGAAAGGTTACTCTGTGTCTGCTCCCCCTACTCCTGATTCAAGTAGGTAGCTAAGGTACCTGAATGAGAGAGTTTTGGTGTTTGTTATGGATCAGCAGCAACAGTTAGTCAATCCTCTGAGAGAGCTGCTTGGTCTCTACTACCCTCCCCTTGCCCATTGACATGCCTTTTACCTTGCAGTTAGGTAGAATGCCGTATGGCAGCATTTGGGAAAGTGATGGTTGGATGCATCTGTCTGAATGCTTAGTGTTCTCCACCAGGCCTTAGGGGCACTTTTACATGTGCTCTGTGGGTGGGGGTGCTTAATTAGAGCGGCTCTGAGAGCCACTCTAATTAAAGTGCCGCAGCATCTCCTGTATCAGCATCCCCATGGTTAGAAATGATGGCTGGGGTACTTGAACTAAAGCTCATTGAACAAACGTTAGTTCAGGTGCCTCTGGCACCATTTTTAAGCACGGGGATACTGACGCATGAGATGGAGACTGTTGGAACATGGTAATTACCATGCTTCAGCAGACTCAATCAAAACTGTTCCAGCGTGTTATTATTATAGTGTGTCGGATCAGTCTCCATACTTGTGTATATCTTAGGGCTGCCTAGGTGCCCTAAGATATATTCCATTGTCACCTTACAGCTGGGAAGAGCACAAGTAGGCTGGGCTTGCTGATCACCAGAGCCTGTAATACAATTGAGAAACAGCCCTGTCTCTTGATAAGCAGTGATTTATGGTGGAGTGGGACAAAGGATCAGGTGTTTGTCCCGTTGAGCACAGAGAAGTGATTGGGGATCCCTAAACAGATGAATAAGTTGATCATTGCTTTGGGTTTGGAGAACTTCCGAAAATGCAAAGCAAATATCTACTTTGTCACCATTCAGACCTCACAAATGACACAAGCAGTAGATTGGGCCACGACCAATTAAAATGGAAGGAGCAAGGGATAGTCAGGGGTTGCCAGTTTCTAGACCGCAATCATGCCCTGTTTCTTCATGCTTGAAGAGACTTGTATGTTGGTGCTCCCAGCTTCATATGGTGTCAGTTATACTTAGATCCTGGGAAACGTAGTCTTTCTCATTCTAAAGGTCTGTCACCACCGTGATCGTCCCATGGCTTTAACTACCCTCTCTTACCACTGCCTTTTTTCACACCTGAACTAATACTATGCTGTTTAGAGTTGGTTGGAAGGCAGGGCTTTATATGTATCCAGCTTTTCTTTTTTCCTCCATCATCCCACAGTCACTTGCTGAGGGTATGCCGCACAGTTCCACCATATGCTTTGTGAGAACTTCGGATGTTGTAGCCTGTTTTCCATGACTGCATCATCTTGCCCAACTAGGCATTCAAACAGGGAAGGATTATGAGGTGATTGTGGATTTGGCATTGCAGTGTCATATATGTTACAAGGACCTGACAATAGTATGTTCAGTAAGTGGAGGAATTTGAAGTTGGAGGTATCCATTCCACATGGGCATTGTGAAATGACTCTGGCACCCTTGGCTTGGTCTTCCTGCCTAGCTTGTGATCAGCCAAAGTGAAGGCTTGAGATTTTCCAGCAGGCCTTCTATAGTTTCCTTTGGTGCAGAATGCAGAATTGTATATGAGATATTTGAGTGTCTAAAACGATGTATGATAAATGAAGTAGCATGCTACTTATACGCTTATCATGTTCCCTGACTAGCAACAGGTTCAGCAAAGGGCACAGCCAGTAAATGAAATTTTCCACCAGGACAATATATCATCACAAGAAATGTATGCGCTGGAAACTTACAAGCTTGCTCGAGATGCGGACAAGGTGTGA